GTCATATCGATTTGTATTAATATTTTTAAGGATACGAATGGATACGTATCGTATCGTAGGATATGTATCGTATCGTATGATACCCTAATACGTATTTGATACGTATCGTTGACGACCTGTATCGAATCGTATCGCGTATTATAGAATACTAACAATCACGCTATTAAAACCATAGTTGTTAGTATCCTACGATACCCCGATACGTATTATACGATACGATTCAATACAGGTTGCCAACGATACGTATCAGATAGTGTATCATAAACCTTTCGATACGTTGATATGTATCCTATAATACGATACGTATCCGTTCGTATCCTTAAAAATATCGATACGACTTTATTAATTAACAAATTTCGGGTCGGAATCAGGTTATCCAACCCGGTTCACTAAAACCTATCCAAATTTACCCATTTTGCATGAAGAAAGTGAAGAGGAACATGTGTTACCCATTTTGCATGATAATAATAATATAAGTGGAGATATAGATACTGACATTGATCTTGGAAATGATATGATGGTTGAGAGAAAATAATATAGATTCTTAATTTCTGATTAATTTTGATTATGTAATATCATAATTTAAAGCCAATAATACTATAAAATTCTTTAATTAATTTTGAAGGTGATATTAATTTTTAGAAAAAATTTATTATTTTATTAATTGAAAAAAAAGCGTATCCTATGATATGACTATCACGAATTTTATCATGTCAATAAGACGCGACAACACCCAGTTATTAATCTTTTTAGTGACGTGACTTTGAATACCATGGTCCACGTCCACCCTTCAGGATTATCTTCTTATATTATATATAAGTTGTTACATAAATTAAAATTAATTTATAATTATAATCTATGAAGAAAGGATTTAAGCTATTGGTTAATAGAAAAAATAGTAAGAGTGAATTAACATAAAGAGATTGGAATCGAGTGTGGTAGGGTTTATGTATAGTATGATTGATCAACATCACCAGTTACAGGTTGCTCAATCAAATCCCATTTAATTTAATCCATCAAAGTGGTTTGATGTGTTAGGTTGATATCAAAATCGACTGGAAACATCATTTATAATCTACTTAAAATTAATTAGAATAATGAACAAAAGAAGAAGATAGAAATGGACTAATACTGAATTGAAATAAATTCTAAATATAATGGTTTTTCATTTAGCATTATATCATATCATTGATCTGTAAATTCGGCCACATTAATATTGAAGAAAATGACGGATAAATGGGCTGCACCTGAAGTTGGTGAACAATTACATTACCACTACAACAATGCTTTTGAGTTTTCATATTAATGCCGAAGAATTTTTTAATAAAGTTTTTTGTTTGGGAAATAATTTTTAGCCAAACACAAGTTGATCTAACATTCATATAAACTATATGTTGACATTTGAAGAAAGATCAACAATCTTGTTCAATTAATTAACATAATATATATTATATCGGTGTTGCTTGAGAGTTGAGACTCAAGAGTATTCAAGGTTTAAAATCCGAGGGTTTTTTGTTGGGTAAGTAAGCCTTTTATAGAAGAGGAGAAAAAAATATACAAGAGGCCTAGAAAGCGGTTATCCTACCTCAAGATAGACCTTGGGTTAAGACCAAAAGATTGATTTAAAGAAATTGAATCAAGTGGAGACTAAAGAATACAAAGAAAGCGTCCTATCATAGGACATGCCCCACGTTAAGTTCAAAAGAATCCAAAAGTGCCAACCATATGCATAAGTATTTGCAAAAATAAGTCTATGAACACGAGCGTTTGCAAGATTGCGTCCAAAAATAACACAAAAGCAAAGAACTAGAACACCATTCAAAAGGTTCCAAGAGTCGAAATGGACTCTTGTAGCACCACCAATCCCAAGATGTAAAAAGAGGAGGTCACCTTACATCTCAGGTAATCCATCACACCCAAATTCCCAAGAAGCAAAGAGAGGACATCAACTCCCATAGAGGGTTTTGGTTTGTCTAATGCATATATGCTTGGGTAACAAGACTCGAGTGCCCTTTTACCATTAGATTTAAATGTTTCAATTTGAATTTGCAAGCAAAGATTTATCATTATTTTTTTTTCTTTTCAAAACCAACGCAAAATTATTTCTTTTGATAGATAAAAAAGGGCTTATTATAATCCAATCCCTTGAGAGATAGTAAAATATAAAATGCATCGATGATTTTTTAAAAGTATTTGTACCTCCTAGATTATCATTTAGTCGGTTAAAATTATCATTTATCACTTTCAGGTTACTGTGTATCTACAGTATAAAATCCTTTTTATGTATTAATATTTTTAAACGACCAAAGAACATCATAAGACCGCATAGCGCAGTGGATTAGCGCGTTTGACTTCGGATCAAAAGGTCGTGGGTTCGACTCCCACTGTGGTCGTTTAGGGTACATACTTTTCCCTTTTTTTTTTTTTTTTACATGGGCCTTAGAGTATGTCCATTTGTTTAGAGTTGGGTACCAACATTTTTATAACAAATTCATGGATATGTAAACTTAAATTTAGATTGTCCAATATTCAACTTTGATTTCATTCCCTATATAAATAATTTATACAACAAATAACTCAAGTTTATAAACACAAGTACTGCTTTTGCAACTCCATGATTATTGGACAAGTAAAGAAATTGGTTTTGCTTATTCTTTTGAATATAATTCCCAAGTTAAATCCCAAAACTGGATCATCATCACACATTCCACCACAATGATAGTTTTCTTATTATCCAACATACCAAACACACGCCAATCATATATAACCAAATCAGAAACCCCTCTCAATTATTACAAAACCTATTCCCATTATTATTAATTTATATGGTTATTATTATTAGAGTTTACTGGTTACAACTACCTTTCAAAATTTTACCATCTCAATAGATACATATTTTGTTGCTCTTAGCTTGTTCCAGACATTCTTCTGCAACGGGAAAGAAATGGGATATTGCAAGCGAGAGTTAAAAGATTGACACCCGGAGAGGACGAAAGTAACAGTGAGAGTTCTTTACTGAAGACGTGGGACTGTTTTAGGTGCTTCAAATAACTGGACATGGGGTGAAATCGAAATCGAACTCGACTCAATCACTATAGTATCGAGTTTGAGCCTAAGAAATCGAGTTCGAACTCAAACTCGATACTTGAAATTGGAAACCGAGTTCGTACAATTCAGTTTTTTTCGAGTTTTAATCGAGTTCGAGTTTGAATTCGATTTCAAGCTCATCTAATAGGGGTGGATTTGCAAATTTTATAACTTTTAAATTACATATGATTCCTATTACTTTAAAAACTATAAACTCACCGAGCTTGGAAATACTTGTGAACATATAGAGTCGAGTTCTACTGTAATCGAACTCGAGTTGATTAATTACTTGTTAGGGCCAAAAATCGTCCTTGGCCCAAATAAGAAAATGGGCCTGAGTGTGTGGAAGAGACCAGACCCATTTGATTCGAGATACAGTTAGCCCAAACCATCTGGGCACAAGCCTCCCAATCCCAGCTCACTTCCTGAACTTATGAGCGAGTTTAGAGCCCACGGCCCCCACATATCATTTTCCTATTCCTGATCAATCTCCCATTCGAAGGTCACCTTCCTGTTCAGATTACTTTCCTACTCGAAGTTACTTTCCTGTTCGGGATCACCTTCCTATCCGAACACTAGTAAGATAGCTCACCACCGCCCTAACTCCTCTGGGGTTTGTATCAGAGTCACACTAGGACTCCTACTCCTACTAGGATTGGGAGACCAGATAGTCACTATATAAGCAGAGGCCAGCCCTCTCACAAGACAGATTACATTACACCTTCTCACCCGAAGCTCCTACTTAAGAGCTACACATCACTGCCGTAGTCATAGTCCCCGACTAGACTTCCGGTAACTTCTCTACTCCCTAGCCCTCACTATATCAACCTCGTTCAGCTTTGCTGACTTGAGCATCGGAGTGCCTACGGCAAACACCACCCCGGTGTTTTCCGTTCGCTTCACGCCTTTATTTCTCTACGTGTGCAGGTGCAGCGGATCGCTAGTGATCTCAACCTTACGGGATCAGACCCCCCTTCCGTACAGGTAGATTTTTACATCTACACTACTTGAACTCGATTCGACTAATACCGAATCAAGTTCGAGCCAACATCGAGTCGAGTTCGAGTAGCTCACGAGCAACTCGACTCGATTTTCGCCCCTAATTATTTGGACATCATAGATTAATATAATATCAGAGTCGATATATATATCTCGATTTTCGCCCCTAATTATTTGGACATCATAGATTAATATAATATCAGAGTCGATATATATATAGTCACTAGTGAACTAGTCTTTTTCTTTTTTGTTTGAGTAAACAATTTTTTTCCACTCAAATAATGATTTAATGACACTTTCCTACCTACAGACTTTTAAAATATGACTTTACAACCCAAATTTACATTCTCTTTCCAATTCCGGCATTGTTGCAACCCCAAACCATCACTGTTATTTTTTTTGATCATCACTCACCAAGACCCCTCAAACCCACTCTCGCTGACTCCACAAATTGTCGGCAATCGAACAATTAGGGCTTGGATAGTTGCCACTCCCAAATCAAATTTTGATCAATCCCAACCATCAAAAGACTCATCAGCTACTCCTCTTTAAAAACCCTAACAATCTAGACTGAGTTTGTTCTTTGTTCATCGACGAAATATAAATTTGGATTGTAAAGTAGTATTTTAAAAGTCCGTAGGTAGGAAAATGCCTTTAAGCCATTATTTGGGTGGGAAAAAGTCGTTAACTCTTCTTGTTTTCGTGTAATATGTAACACTGAAACACAGTGAATTGAAATGAACTGAAAGTAGTTAATTGAGTGACTAGCACATGAAACCATGTCATCCAGATTATTACATTTGTTATTACGACATTAAGGAGGATCAAGCTGCCACAAATATCCTGAAAAAACCTCCTATTAATTTTCTCTCCATGCTAAGTCAAAAGTACGTACTTACTGAATGGGAGGCAGCTCAGATGAATATGAAGGCATATGAAGCCAACATCATCATCAAGAGACTTCCTTTCCCAAATAACATCACTTTTATTCCATCACTGCTGCTTGTAGTTGCCGCAGAATCTGATTTTGAACTGGAATCAGGGGAAGAAGAAGAAGAAGTGGTTGCCCCGGACGAAGTAGAATTAGGAGAAGCAGAAGTTGGTGAATTTGAATCAGTGGTGGGGGTGGTGCTAGAATCTTGAACTGCTTCTTTAAAGATCTTTGCATCTGGGGAGTCTGCTGGGAGGTTCAGTAAAGCTGCACCAAAATCATGAAAGAAGTCATATTATGCAGTAAGTTAATTGTATGGTTTAGAGGAATTAGAGTGTACCAGGACAATTGGAGACACTAGCATCTATTTTGCAGGCAGCTGGCATTTGAAGGGCTAAAGCGGTGTTAACAGGGACGCCCATGGACATGGAGGGGTCAGTGCTCTCTTTGATGAGAACACACAAGCACTTGGGCTTGCTAGCCTTCAGTTTCTCAGTGTCTTGGCAGCATTGCGTTGTTGGCTTCTTGGCGGTGCCACTCACATAAGGAATGCAAGATGCAAGATTTGTGAGCTGATCGGCACATTCCTTCTCATCATCTTCCATCGTTGCTATTGTTACCATTGCCAGTGAGGCCACCGCAATGCACAACAATACCATCTTTTTGTCTCTCATTGTGGCGGGGATTTAGTATATGTTTTGTATCTCTCTTAGCGGTTGTTTTTTCTCTTGTTTCTGGGCTTGGCATGTATGGGTGTATATATATATAGGTAGGTTAGGTATTTAACTATTTATGTACTTCCTGCATCTAGTTAAGTTAGGTAATTATGTACTTCCCGCCTTCATATTTTGATTTACGGCTAATGCTATACTTACACCATTCTTTTTACACGATTTAATAAATATTATGATGTGACATAAGAATTTGTGTGGTTGTGACATATGCCATATTACGATGTAATGAAAATTGTGTAAAAGAGTAATGTAAGTGTAACATTACTCTTTGATTTAATAATGTAAACTGGTGACCCGCTATTTTCCTAGGTCCATGTCATACACAAACTGAAAATTTAGAACTAACGAAACTAAAGTTGAGGCAGTGAATCAGAATTGGAAGTATTTTCTTTCCATTGTGAGAAATTCAGTCATATAGTTGAATGGCATTATAGATTTATCACCTTGTTAAATGTTCAGGTAAGCACTAAGCAGTAACCATTCGAGATATCCGTAAATTCCTAAATGAAGAATAAAAAATTCAATGCAAAACAGATAACCAGATAAGGAGAAAGGTGAATTGTTACACTTGGCTGTGGAGTACCTTGAGAAACGGTATTTCAGTTTCCAAAGGAGAAGTAAATTCAAGTCAATTAATTGAGCTTGCTTTTCCCAATGATAATAATCAATACAACTCTAAAACCGCATCCTTCTCCTCGTCCAAGTTTCCACTTTCCACTACCAATTATAGTTAAGAGAGTCGAGATACGGGCAATGGTGGTTGATATTCATGAACCATATAAATCAGGAATTGAAGCAATGCAATTTAGACCAATCTTGTTCTGACAGTTACAAGGAATTGAATAAGAAAACCTATTTTAATGCTTGGTAACATCCGAATAGGTTCTCGTTACTTGGCTCTTAATCTTACCTTCTTTTGTTACCTCTTCACTTTTCATAGCATAGTCACATTGTGTCAATCTTGATATTTGATTATAAGAATTTGTCTACGAAAATGCCATCAAAACATACAAGAACAAGAAATAAGAAATTCCAATATATTATAGACTAAAATTAAGAAAATTGCAATAATGAAATGATGAATTCACACAAAACCAGCTCTAACTATTTATTGCAATGGGCAACAAACTGAAAAAATTTACAAATGGTCGAAGTTACTCTTTACATTGAAAATGAATGATTTCTTCCCTTTTAAAATTTCTCTCTCGAAAATTGCACAAGTTATATACCCCAAAAGGTAAGTCGACTCGAGCAAGAGTAAGCGAAAAGGTTAAATATATATAGAAAAAGCGGGGAGGGTTATAAACTGTACACTGACTATACAGATGTGTAAGGAATAACACTTTTTACCACTGTGAAAAATTCTCTTTGTACTATGAAAACTGATCCTGATTTCCGTTTAAGTGAGATGTTGAAGCAGGAGATCTGGCTTGAGAAGATTGTTGTGGGGGAGCAGTAAGGGCATAAGTGAGTCGAGATGAGGAATTCTCAATTAAACCAGCAACACCAGCTGCTGCTGATTGAGCATTTGAAGGAAGGAATAGATCATGTTTCTGGTCTTTATAAGCACTCCAGACCTACATACCCAGACAACATGTTGACCAAATACAGAAAGTCAAAAGACAAATACGGCATTATTTTTATCAACTTCAACAAAGTAAAATTGAAAATTTCTGTAAATGTTGAAAACTAGCATGTGCTTTCAGCTAAGCAAATCTAGACTCTATAATTAGATCTTATCACTTAGAATCAGTTATGGCAGCAACAAACTGAAAAAGTTATGGCAGCAACAAACTGAAAACACCTTTTTAAACAGGAAGGTCCACTCAAAATTAATCATAAAATTAAGATGAATGATTCTAGAAATTTCCCCAGAAACAGTGGAACATAAGTTGGAAGAAGAAAGTGGCAGGACTTACATCTGAGGCATTCAATATGTCACGAACTTTAGTACAATGGGCCCCTTCTGCAGCAAATGCATGCAAAACCTGGTTCAACATAAAATGACAATTAGTCAGAGAAAATATCAGGAAAAAGGGACGAAAATTTGCAACGTCTCTTTAACAGAAGGATTCTTCACTAGCAAGAGCAGCTATAAAAATTTTCAAAAACAAAATGTTAACCAAATGAGTGAAAGCTAGAGACGTTTTGAATGATTACATGAACACAAACAGATCAGACAATAACCAGGGACAAGGCTTAATCTTTAAAGAGTTAGTAAGCAATAACATTTACTTTTCTTTCGTAAGGATAACACAGCTTTTAAACAATGATAGCATCTTAAACAAGCTAACCTCAATTGCTAGCACCCTGCCAATAGAAGCTTCAGATTCATTCCACTTCATTTGAGAGCATAGTCCATTCCTACCCCCAGCTCTCCAGTCAAGAAGGCCAAGAAGTACTTCAACAAGACCAACCCTACAATCACATGATTGCTCAATATCAGATCATAAACAGCCAACAATCCCATATGTATGCATATGGATATGATCAACAACCTCTATATATATAGAGCATAGATCAACAACCTCTATATATATAAAGCAAGGATCAACAGCCACACAAACAGACTTGTGGACATGCACATAACAGGTTGTTTAATTGATCTAGCCAACAAAAGTTACTCACTTGAGGCCTTGTGCTACAAGTGCATCCCTAGCTCGATTTCCAGCAACCACAACACGCTTTAGTGTCTCGAGAGCTAATATGCTTCCACCTTGCCATCCTATAGCTTTCATTAGAAGTGGAACAACCTGAAAAAATGATTACAAGAACAAACAAATGGACTAAGGCTATGAACAACAGCAGAGTTTTAAGAAACATGATAGTAAGGCATTAAGTCATTGCAACAGGTGAAAACTAAGAAAAACAAAAACAAAAACCACAATCACAATCACAGACTAAATATTAAATAAATCACAAACCAATTACCAGCTATAATCAGTAAATTCCTGAAACTATAAAATTTTAAATGCATAAAATTTAACCACAAAGGATCATTCGATACATAGAATCATTCCTGAAGAGAAGAAAATAATGGAAAAAGGAAATTAAAAGAATTCTAGAGAAAGCCTTTACGATGAAAAGACTAAGAAAATTCTCTTGACAACTAAGTGAACATTATCAGATATGAATTAGCATTTTCAGAATCAGTTTCATATAAATGAAAATATTCCATCAAGTCGTATCTGAAAGGTAATTTGTTCAATTTTAGAATGAGTAGAAATTACATTAGATGACCAAGTCAATGGAATTCATCATATGATCTATTTTAAGGAGGGGCAGATATTCCAAAATATACCTGAGGCGTTCCTGCACTAGTTGCTGCCATAGCTTCAGCGCATGTAGTACTAGCTGCAAGTTGATGCAGGACACGCAAACAACTAAGGCGAACACGTTCCTGAGGTGTTTGTGCAGGCTGAGCTGATCCATCATCAGATTCATATGCTTTATCTGCTGCATAGTTGCCATTTTTCACATCCTCTGATGACATTGTTTCTCGTCTTGCCTCATAAGCCACAGCAGCAACAAGTTTGGGCACATAGCCAAGATATCCAACATGGTCTGCAAGAGCAGGATGCACTCGCAATAATGACACCAGAGCAGCAGATAGAAGCAACGGAAGCTCTGGGTCAACAGCTTGTGTATCATAATGTGTAGCAGCAATAGATGACAAATACTGATCAAGCAGTCCTTCCAAAAATCTCTTTGGATTTCTTAGAGGAAATTTAGGATCTTTTAGGAACAGTCTGACATAGATTCCTCCAACCTACATGACCAAGAACCTGTGAGATACAGATTATGAAAATATGTTTTTTAGGTACAGAAATAGCACATATCAGACCATACCTGTGGCTCATCTCTCATTTCCTGCTGAGCAGATGCTTGCTCAGGTACATCCCAATCAACAACGCGACCTTTCATCTGCTCACGGTATAGATCAGATGCCATAGTAGAAATCTGAGCAGATAAAGAAGCTGCCATTGCTGGTGTCCACACAAGTTCTGGAGTTTCAGTAGTCTGTTCAAGTGCTGATACAACAGCCTCCCCAGGCCCATCTCTAATAACTGATACCAGGCCATCTGGAAGGAACCTTGCTAGTGTTATACCTACCCTAGGTCCATGCATCGGTTGTCCGACAAGCTTCCCCAATAAAGATGCTGCTGCTGCTCTTTGCTGTAAGGGAATTTCTTCTGCACATAAACCTTCTTATTATTGGTTACATTGCCTTTTAACAGATAAGTAGCAAAAAAGGAAGCAAGAGAAAAATCATTACGCTGCAAAGGCAGGAGAAGTTCAAGAATGTATACAACTCCACCATGCTTGGCAGCTGCCCAAGCAAGCTCTGGTGTGCTTGCCAAAGCATAAAGAACATGAAGAACACCCTCACGACAAGCTGTAGCATAGTGAAGCATTTGTAATAAAAGGAGAAGACTGGATCCATCTGCTACCATAGCCTCCAAGCAGGAAGCACATGTAGTCAAGAGAGAGAGCACACTAAGGCAAAGCTGAGGAATGTTGCTTTCTGATGCAACAGGCACAGAAAAGCATTCGAAAAGAGGTAATAGCTTTTCTTTTGTAGAAAATATGGACGCCAAATTCGGGTTGCTTGTCAGTATGTTCTGCAAAATTAGTAAAAAAAAAAAAAAAATCACATACAAGGAATTATTAACAACATAAATGCACAAATGAATAATGTACCTGAAGTGAGGTCAAACCAAACTGTAGGTTTTTAATCAGTTGGAAATCTTCCTTGTCAGTCATTTTCCCATGAGACACTGCCAAAGAATCATCAGAAACATGCTGTTCATTTACTGATGAATCAACTGCATTATTTGGAAGCTCAGATGTCTCAGGAGATGAGCTATCAATATCAAGGTTGTTCTCAACACCTGGTTCTGTAGCACATTGATTGTGCACAAGAA